CTTCACTGGGTTCCTCACTTGGCATGCTTGATATATCGTCAATACTGCCTCTGAGCTTCTGGCTGATTCAAGGAACAGCGCGCCAGAGGTGGTCACCGCGCTTCACCATATGTTCGCGTCTGGTGTTGTAGTAAGAGCACATTCGCTAGCGCGCGCCCCAGGCTGCATACGACAGCTGTTGGACAGTGTGGCAGCTACTATCGATTGCAGGCCGACTGCTACGGTAAATTTTCGCCAACATGGCGAATAACATGAGATGTATACGGGTGGGAACGTCCATGAGAGCCTGCTTCATAACATTTTTTCCTCGCGAAATTTCGATACCGATCCCTTGTACCTGACACCCGTCACTATTAAGACGTTCATTTGCTTAACAGTCGGCGTAAATCGTATGGGACATTCGAACTACGTAAAGATTACCCCAAGCCGTCGGCGTCCACTGCACAGAAGAGCATGTTCGTAATTTCGCGCACTATCAGTCGACTAGTGTATGAGAGAGGGGGACATTGTGGCCCACGGCATGTCAGCGCATTCCTTACTAATAAAAAAAACTCCATGCGCTTGACTTTACCAAGACTAGAACAATGCTCGAACCAGTTAGTCAGCTGATAGGGGAACAAGGTACAGTTATCTGACGTGGACAATCAGTCCGTCTGGATTTGCGACACACTATCGGGCGCCCAGCACAACACACCACCAGGTTTTTACACAAGAGAGGATGGGCGGCTCGGATCTCACACGCGTGAAAGTGCAATGGAAGCCACGTTAAGAAGAAGCCATTGAGCTTGACTCTGGACTCACCAGTCGGTCACTCCACACAAACGCACACGATAGTTCGACCGTCACATCCGACGATGTCCACCGTAGCAGCGGTGGGAGCAGGGACGGTGACTTGCGCAGGGGTTTGTAGTGCCAGTAGACTTGCGCTTCATCTATCACACTCTCCCCCCCGCCTGAGCCCGGTGTCAAGACATGGTCAAGAAGACCGGAGACGAGGGAGGTCGCAGGTGGATGGCTCGGACGAATCCTCACCTTGGCGTTCCTCCACACCCCCTGGTCCTCTCAACAAATAACCAGGAGTTTAACCCACAAAACAGTGGGGTGATGGCAGTGGTCCAGTTGTGCGACGACTGCCGACAACAGGGTCTGCCGGCGCACCCCGTGAGTGTTGGCGTTTGTTATTGCGCAGAGATAACGCATGCCAGAATCCGATGTGGCCCGCGTGTTGGTCCGGCGCATCTAACACGTGGCCCATTTGGGGGGGCAAACACGACGAAGACGACAGTTCAACCATCGATTTCGATGATGTCCACCGTGTGCCCCACAGCTGTAGCAGCGGTGGGAGCAGGACGGTGACTTGCGCAGGGGTTTATAGTGCGGGTAGACTTGCGCTGCATCTACCTACACTCTCTCCTCCTCCCCCGCCTGGGCCCGGTGTCAAGACAGAATCAAGAAGACCGGAGACGGGGGAGGCCGCAGGTGGATGGCTCGGACGGATCCTCACCTTGGCGTTCCATCACACCCCCTGGTCCACACAACAATAACCAAAATTTTGTCCGACACAACAGAGTTTGGAGGCTGGCACGACCGAAGTCGCACCTAGGCGTGCCGCCAACGCCTGGCTCGAATCCCACACTGTGGTGGGAGTGCCATAAAGACCACATTAAAAAGGAGCCATTGCAGCCTGACTCTCAGACCGTCTCCAGTCAAGGAGGAGGTCCAAGTTACCCCGTCAGTTGGCAACCTTCCAAGCCACGGCTTTTAGCGCACCGAGATAGCTTCAAGCGCGTCAGATTGTTTATAGTGAGGAGGAAGTGCGCTGAGTCGTCGACCTCACTCACCCTTCTCACTCCCACACCCCAGCCACTGTCCGAGCCGGTCAGTAGACTGGAGTGGGGAATGGGTGCGGTGGCTGACATGGTCGACTGACCATGTCTGCGCGCGCTACAGCACGACCTGGCCCCCCATACACACACAACCAGAATTTCACACAACGGGGGTTGAACGGCGTGTCTCTCACTTGCGTGAGAGGGCCGTGGAAGGTGCTGTTTCAGCCCGTCCCCAGCCCACGAGTCCGCCACTCCACACAACACACACACACACACACAACGTGGCGAACTGCGTGAACCGAGAACGGGCGTCAATTAACAACCTTCCTATCCACGACACTTGACGTGTCGGGATAGTCTCGGACTCAAGTCACCCGTGCAGCCGAGGCCGCATGGGGACCGAGTCGAGATGCACACTTCCCACTTGCGTGGAAGGTGGCAGTTGATGCATGCGGTGGGTGAGTGTTGATTCGAAGTGGTGATGGTGGAGGAGGATATGGAGTGTGTGAATGTGTGGTGTAACCGGCGGTTGTCTACCGCAGGTCGTCGTGGATGCGCATGTGACCGAATAGACCCATGCGGTGCCTGAAAGTGCGAGGGCAGTGTGGGCAGTTGAGACGGGTGTGGTGGGTATAGGTTGGTGCTCCAGGCACTGGTTCGCCAGTCTCTGTGCGATGGATTCGCAAGTGACCGACCGGGCCGATGCGAGAGGTGAATGTGCGTGCACAGTGTGGGCAGGTGAAGTCGGCGGCGTCAGTATCAGCTACGGAGGACATGGTGATGGTGATGGTGGTGGTGATGGGCGCGCAGGGCAATGGAGCGAGACTGGGATTGGGCGTGGTGGATGTGCTGGATGTGGTGGGTGTGGTGGGTGTGTCGGAATTGTGGTCAATTCCGCTCTCGTGGATGCGCATGTGGCCGAATAGACCCATGCGATGCATGAAGGTGCGAGGGCAGTGTGGGCAGTGGAGGCGAGTGCGGTGGGTGTAGGTTGGTGCGCCAGGCACTGGTTCGCCAGTCTCTGTGCGATGGATTCGCAAGTGACCGACCAGGCCGATGCGGGAAGTGAAGGTGCGATCGCAGTGAGGGCAGATGTAGTCCTGGCCCTCACCTCTGATGATGGAGGTTGCAGGGGTTGTGCCTGTTGTTGTTTCAGATGCGGCTGTGGTGAAGTCGTGCGCTACAGACGCCGGAATGGCCGTCGTTGTGGCAGTGAAGGAGGAAGAGGAGGACGACGGGGTGCAGTGAGGGGTGGTAGAGTCGGTGCCGTCGATGTCGGTTGAGGAGTGATTGGTGGGTGCGCAAAGTGATGAATTGGGAGTGGGGCTCGGCGGGGTGGGTGTGTCGAGGTTGCGGTCAATTCCGCTCTCGTGGATGCGCATGTGGCCGAATAGGCCCATGCGATGCCGGAAGGTGCGAGGGCAGTGTGGGCAGTGGAGGCGAGTGCGGTGGGTGTAGGTTGGTGCGCCAGGCACTGGTTCGCCAGTCTCTGTGCGATGGATTCGCAAGTGACCGACCAGGCCGATGTGTGAGGTGAAGGTGCGGTCACAGTGAGGGCAGGTGTAGTCCTGATCCTCATCACTGGAATCGGGAGGTGTGGGGGTGGTTGCGGTTATTGCGTCGTGGTTGGCGATGTGTGAGACGGCAGCCTGAACGGCCACCGCAGGGGCAGTGGAGGAGAAGGAGGAGGATGGAAGTGGTGATGCAGAAGGGGTGTCAGAGTTAGTTGGCGACACCGAGTACGAGGAAGAGGCGGGCGGGGGGACGATGGCTGGAGCAGTTCGAGAGGTGCAGTTGGTTCGAAGATGTCCAACAAGTCCGATTCGTGCCCGGAATGTCCGTTGACATCGAGGACACGTAGGGAGAGGTTGTGCGGCGGCGTTGCGTATTGGGCGAACTTGTGATTTGCGGGCTTCGCGTTTCACTTTGGCGGCGGCGATGCGGTTGGCTTCATAGATAGCAGCGCCCGTCTTCACTGCTCTCCTCCATGTCGGACGATCGCGGGCGAGCTCTTCCCAGTTGGTCGGGTTGATTTGCAGACGCTTCAGGGAGGACTTCAGAGTATCCTTGTAACGGCGAATTTGGACTCCTTGACGGCGAGAACCCGTTGCGACGTCTCCGTAGAAGAGTCGTTTGGGTAGTCGCTCGTCGTCCATGCGCAGCAGGTGGCCGCTCCAGCGCAACTGCATTTGTCTCAGTATGGTGTAGATGCTGAGACTTCCCGTCCGTTCCAGTACATCAGTGTCAGGGATGCGATCCTGCCAGTTCAGCCTCAGGATGCGACGGAGGCAACTGAGGTGGAAGTGATTCAGTCGGCGTGCCTGCCTCGTGTACACCGTCCACGTCTCTGCTCCGTAAAGTAGCGTGGGCAGGATGACGGCCTTGTATATCCTCAGCTTCGTGTTTAGTTGAAGACCGTGGCGATTCCAAACTGTGCTGTGGAGGCGACCGAAGGCTTGACTGGCTTTCGAGATTCTGTTGGCGACTTCGTCATCGATCTTGGTGTTCCGGGAGAGAGTACTGCCCAGGTACGGGAAGTTCTCCACCACTTGCAGTTGGGTCCCATTCATGCTGATTTGCGGCGGCGCGTTGGGGGCTGTGGCTGAGTTGGGTGGCGGTTGGTGCATCACCACCGTCTTCTGCGTGTTAATGACCAGACCAAAGTTCTCGCAGGCGGCTGAGAACAGATCCATGCTCCGTTGCATCTCCTCTTCCGAGGTGGTGCTCAGGGCGCAGTCGTCGGCGAAGAGGAGTTTGTGCACGGTGGTTGTGGATACGCGCGATTGGAAGTTCATGCGCCGTTGATTCAGGAGATGATCGTCCGTCCTGTAGGCGATGCGGATCCCGGGGCGTTCTTCGCGGTAGGCGTCCATCAGCATGGCAGAGAACATAAGACTGAAGAGGGTTGGTGCCAGCACGCATCCCTGCTTCACTCCGTTGGTCACTGCGAATGCCTCTGAGACAGCTCCGTTGTCCGTGACTAGCGCCGTCATACCGTCGTGCAGCTGACGCACCATCTGAGTGAATTGCTCCGGACAGCCGAATTTCTGCAGATCTTCCACAGTCCTTCACGATTCACCGTCTCGAAGGCTTTCGTCAGGTCCACGAAGGTAGAGTACAGGTGGGTCCGCATCTCCTGACACTTCTCCTGAAGTTGACGGGCAGCAAATATCATATCCGTGGTCCCACGATGACGACGGAAGCCGCATTGGCTTTCGGCAGAAGGCCCTGTTCCAGATGATTATTGAGGCGGTTGAGAAGGATGCGAGCGAAGATCTTCCCGGCGATGTTCAGCAAGGAGATGCCGCGGTGATTGCCGCAGACTTGGCGGTTCGCTTTTCGCTTGTATAGGTGCACGATTGTTGCGTCTTTGAAATCTTGCGGGACTTCCCCTTGACGCCACATCTCCTGGAAGAGCGCAGTCAGGTGATCCATCAGTTGGAAACCTCCATGCTTGTAGACCTCAGCAGGGATTGCGTCCGATCCGGGTGCTTTCCCGCTGGAGAGCTGCTGCACGGCCCTGATGGTCTCCTGGAGAGATGGCGGGAGGTCGAGATCCACGTTGGTCTCCACTTGCGGCAAACGCTCGATGGCGGCGTCGGAGATGACGGAGGGGCGGTTGAGGACGCCTCAGAAATGCTCGGCCCATCGCTGCAGGATTTGCGTCTCCTCAGTCAGGAGAGTGCTGCCGTCGGCGCTGAGGAGAGGAGCAGTGCCCTTCGTCGGCGGACCGTAGACAGCTTTGGTCGCGGAGAAGAAGTTCTTCCATTCGTTTCGTTCCGCGTAGCCTTGGATCTCCTCAGCTTTGCGAGCAGTCCAGGCGTCCTGCATCTCGCGCAGTCGTTGCTGAAGTTTGCGGCGACTACGGTAGAAGGCAGCTTTGTTGTCCTCATAGGGGTGATCTACGTAGGCTTTGTGTAGGCGGTTCTTCTCAGCAAGCAGATTTCTGATGGCGGCGTCGTTGTCGTCGAACCAGTCCTGGTGTTGACGGGGAGCGCGACCAAGGACGGCGAGCGCCGTCGACTGGACCGTGTCTCGCAGTTGACACCAGCGGTTCTCCACGGAGGCGTTCTCGGCAGCGGCGGCGTCGTCGGTGGCAGCAATTGGAAGGTTGTCTAGCCGTTGAGCTAGCTCATTGCTGAAATGAAGATGGTGAGTGGGCAAAGACAACAAGGCAACATTCAGCTTACCTGGGGGTCGATTACCCTGTGGTCTCCTGCGAGGCTGTAGGCGAATGCGCATCTTCGAGATGACGAGGCGATGGTCGGTCCACCCATCAGCTCCCGCGATCGCCTTCGTCACCAGCACGTCCCGCTGATCTCGCCTCCGGACGAGGACGTAGTCCAGCAGGTGCCACTGGCGCGACCGAGGATGCCTCCAGGTGGCCTTCTCTCGCTCCGGCAGACAGAAGAAGATGTTCGTCAGGATGAGGCGGTGTTCTGCGCAGGTGCGGAGAAGCAGCAGGCCGTTGTCGTTGGAGCCGCGGAGACCGTGGGGACCGAGCACTCCTCTCCAGGCAGTATGGTCTGTGCCGACGCGGGCGTTGAAGTCGCCAAGGACAATCAACTTGTCCGCCTTCGACACAGTCGCCAAGAGAGCGTGCAGGTCCTCGTAGAATTTGTCTCTGACGGCGTAGGGGCTGGTCATCGGCGGAGCGTAGGCGCTTATGATGGTGGCGAATTTACCCCCTACCCGGCGGAGAGGCAGACGGAGGCTCCTCAGGCGATCGTTGATGCCCTGCGGCAAGCAGGGCAGTCGTCCCACGATGTCGTTCCGGATGGCGAAGGCGACGCCCGCGTCTCGTCGCTCTGCCCTGGGTCGGCCACTCCAGAAGAAGGTGTAACCGTCACCCACCTCCTCCAGTTGGCCTTGTTCAGAGAATCGGGTCTCGCTGAGTGCGGCGATGTCCACCTTGTAGCGCGCCAGTTCTCGTGCCAGTAGCGTCGTCCTCCGTTCCGGTCGGTTGCTCCACGGATTGTCTAAAGGGAACGAACATTCCAGGCTGCCAGAGTGAGCGGGCTCACCCTGCCAGTCTGGCGACTGCGGCGGCGAAAAGTAGGAGTAGGAGAAGAAGAATAGGCTGGAAGAGGAAGAGAGTGATTGTTGTTGTTGTTGTTGTTGTTGTTGTTGTTGTTGTTGTTGTTTCGGTTTTGGCTGTTTCGACCGTGTGTTTTTTGTCTGCGGCCACGGCCAGCCTACAGACAGCGTGGTTCCCAGCGATCTTTAGGGCACCTTTTCTAGCCCCCTCCTCCTCGCGGGGGCAGGCAACGCATCCCTGAACAGGGCTGCCCGGTTATCCCAGACGGCTGCCGGACTCCTCTATGGGCCACGACTTTTTGTTAGTGAGAGAACGACCCGAATTAGCCTGGGACCTTGGTGGTGATGATGATGTGATGGAGTAAAGTAGGAGAGAGCATGCACACAACCTAACGCTATGGGACTTACAGCTAGCTAGAGCGGGCAAACAGACACAGTCATCAGTTAGAGACAGAAGTGAGAGGGCACCATTCAAGCGTCAAGCACCGTAACACCTAGCTATTAGCAGAGAGGCATAGAATGACAGACAGACAGTCGCAGCAGGCAGCAAGGGTTTCGTCTAGCTATTAACAGACAGACTAGCAAATAGATGGCAGGCAGCAAGAGCAGCATACGACACGGAACTTCAACAGACAGAAGGAAGAAACAGAGCAAATGCACTTACCTGGAGAAGAACTTACCTGGTGGCCTCCTGCGATGGTCCAGGCAGAACCTCGTCTCGACGATGTCGACGCGAAGGTCCATCCGGCCAGCGCAGACCGCATTACCGCGCGTGCAGGTGCACGCACGGATACCCTCACCTGGTTTAGCCCGCCGGTCGAGACGGTTGCCCGGGGTGTGGCCGCTGAGCAGAGCCCAACTACGTGGAGCCGCAGGTGAGAGTTAGGTGCCAGCAAATGGACACTAGGCGTAGTCTCACCT